AACAAGACTGGTTAGAATTACTATCTGATGACCAGTCTCTCATCCTGCTTCTCCTCCACCCAGATTACAGCCCTAAGAAAGATGATTTGACTGCTTCTCAGGTTTTTGGTGGTCTTAGTTCCTACACTTAACTCTTCACTCCTGTAAGGTTTGAGTTCAGCTAGGATTGATGTTCTACGATGCATCCCCATAGCACCCTTATCACATGACTTGATGTAAAATCTCCCAAGCCTTACATAGATTCTTCTTCCTTTCTACTTTTGTGTAGCCAGAAGCTGTATGTATAAATTCTGATGATTATCCACGTTACCAAATACGTTATATGAGAAGTCATGCATACCAGTACAGTGACATGAGCATTTATACCTTTAACACCACATATAATTCTTGATGATAAATTGTAATGTTTTGTATCAATCACTACTCCTTCATCACTTGCAAAGCCTCCACTTATATAACATTTTGGCATGTTCTAGCCAGAAGTTCCAAGTTTCCTCTGCAATATGTATTGCTACTTCACGTCTCTAGTTAACAGTAGCTTAGAACCTTGAATTAGGGCTCTCCAGACAAACAGAACCAAGAGGAGATACATAGATACAGATACAGATATAGATATATAGATATGTAAAGAGATTTGTTAGAAGATATTGGTTAGTGTGATTATGGAGGCTGAGAGGGCCCACCATCTGCTGTCTGCAAGCTGGAGACCCAGGAAGGCCTGTGGCATAGTTGGAAGGCTTGAGAGTCAATGATGGCAGTTTCTAGTCCAGGTCTGAAGGCCTGAGATACAGGAATGGCAGGGGCAGATGATCAATGTCTCAGCTCAACAGTCAGACAGAGTGAATTCAACCATTTTGTTCTATTCTGGCCCTCAATGACTTGGGGAAGGCTATCTGCTTTACTCTGACCAATTCAAGTGCCAATCTCTTCTGAAACACCCTCACAGACACACATAAAAAGGTTTAACGAGCTATTTGGGTATCCCTTGGCCAGACAAGTTGACACATAAAATTAACTATCACAAACCTTGACTGGTATTCTAACAATTTAAAAGCAAGCCCAACTGCTGACCTAGTCACCAGGAAATCCTGTCTCAAAGGTCAAAGTAAAGTAGGTGTTTTGAACCCACACTCATGTCTGCCTTGGGCCTGTTAGTTTTCCAGGAAAGAACCCGTTTTCTCAAAGAAGTATCAGTTAATGCTGGACAAAATATCATCTTCCAGACTATAATTTCATGATGAAGATTCTTAGAGACTCACTCTAGAAAGTTGAGACAATGCTAAAATATGACTAGTTTGCCATCTAAAATGTACAAACTTGAACAGTATATTCCCTCCCTCGACTTCCATGTTATTATGTTGATCTGAGTAGTTTTTAAAACTCCCCTCAGACTTTGAGGTGGTGCTCCAGAACTCTCATGGTTAATATACTGAGTCAATTCTACTCCCCAGCCCTCTTTACCTAGCAGTTCAGTCATCATGACAAGAGTATCCATTTGGCACAGCTCCAGATGCTGGATGATACTGAACCTTGGATTTAGGAATTCAGTGAGTCTCCCCACCTTCTACTCTCAAAATACAGTCCCTGCTAATACTTAGTGGTCATCATAAGACTTGATATTATGGTTTCTGCTTTTCATACCAAATATTTCCAGGACAAGAAGACTTTTCTATTAGAAGAGTCCTTTTAGCCCCCTATACAATTTCCATCTTACCCTACTTTGTATTACTAGCAAAGTAAGCAAATGGAAATAGCCCTTTTGTTTTCTGAAATATTTCATTACAAATAAAATGGTTAATTTGTCTAAATGAGATAATGTACATGAAAGCACACTATAAGCTATAAAACAAGCTATAGAAGGCAAGATATGCTTAAATATTTTTATTTAGAAGGGCTTATTGGGGTGCCACCGATGGGGTTAAGCATCCAACTCTTGATTCGGGCACAGGTCATGAACCCTGGGTCAATGGGGATCGAGGCCGCATTGGTCTCTGCACTGACAAAGCCTGCTTGGGATTCTCTCTCCCCTTTGCTTTCTGTCTCTCCCCCATTCATGCGTGCGGTCTCTCTCAAAACAAATGAACCTTTAAAAAAGGGGCTTATTAATATTTTTCATTAATTTCAGAATTCTATCATGTCTGAGCTGTAAGGAACCTGGACCTTAGAACTCAGTTGTTCCAGATGAGAAATATGAGGCCTAGAGTTTAAACAATCCCTCCTAATGTCACCCAGCCTAGCAAGTTTTTCCCAGGTAAGGAAGAAAATATGTAAAATATTTTTGCACTAAGATCCACTTTCTAAACATCTAAACTACAAGCGGTGAATGATCATTTAAACATGAGGAAAGCTTCAGTCCTTTTGATTTATTCTAACCATTTTCAAAAGAACAAAGTATTTTTATAAAGAAATCATTAAACTAGAAACTTAGATATTTACCTGTATTTACTTACCTCTACAATTTTAATTTATTTATTTTGAGAAAGAGACAGCGGCAGCATAAGTGGGGGAAGGGCAAGATAGAGGGAGAAAGAATTCCAAGCAGGCTCTACTCTGTCAGCACACGGATGCATGTTTAATCAACTGAGCCATCCAGGCGCCCCACCTCTACAATTTGAAAAGTTGATTTAAGACTCTCAAAAGCCAACTATAAAAATAAAAGGTCTTCAAAATTTTCTTTGTTCTTTTTTTAAAAAAAATTTTTTTTTCAACGTTTATTTATTTTTGGGACAGAGAGAGACAGAGCATGAATGGGGGAGGGGCAGAGAGAGAGGGAGACACAGAATCGGAAACAGGCTCCAGGCTCTGAGCCATCAGCCCAGAGCCCGACGCGGGGCTCGAACTCACAGACCGTGAGATCGTGACCTGGCTGAAGTCGGACGTTTAACCGACTGCGCCACCCAGGCTCCCCCAAAATTTTCTTTGTTCTTAGAGGTGAAAATGTGCATCAGAATTGTAGGAGAATGTTACTTTTTATTCAATGCAAGTTTGTTTTAACATAAATACTTCCATGAAATAAATCCCAAGTACTACATTTAAATTTTTCAGTACAATTTATTCTTATTCTTATTACATTTTAATTTGCATTTATTAAGTATCTTGGAAATATTATATTCAAATAGAACTCCAGAGAAAGGCCATTAACTAATTATTTAGCAGTCTCAGTGGGTCAGCTACCTAGTTAGCCTATTTGCCTCTCCCAGTGTACACATACTTGCTCTCTGGTGGTTATTATTATGTAATTGTCTTCAAGATGTGGCTGAAGCTTGAATCTGGTATCAGACCAAGTCTACATATCCATGAATATAGACCACTGACTACATTTAGGGTGCAGCCAATTACGATGAATCTAAAAAAGACTGGCTATTCTCTTGGGAGAAGAATATATACCCCACCCAAGTGGCAGCTCAGTTTTCTAAGAAACTCAGAAAAAAATAATCCACGAAGGGATAGAATCAATGATAAGGATAGGGATAATACTCTGAGAATAAACATAATATATACACACTGGAGTAAATAGGCTTCTCTTGAGTCCAAGCTCTTACTTTTATTTTTAAAAGTCTGATAAAAATGTACTCAATTACATTTTATACAGTAATATTTAGTGAACTTTGTCCAAAAAGACTTCTGTTTTTAAGTTCATTTGTAAAAATAACAAAAGCTTTATCACTCAATCTCTGGCCAATAAGGAAGGAAGAAAAACCTTGCTAGAAATGAATACAAATAATTTCACACAAAAGGCCAGGTGACGTAAGAATAGTATATTAATTAATATATTTTCTTTGTATTTACAATAAATCCATTTGTTAATACTGTGATAGAAAAAATAATCAGTCCACATTATGTAGTAGAAACAGGCTTTGAGGATGACCATTCCTCTCACAATAAAAACATACAAGGATTTCTCCCACAGCTAAAGTACTTTTCAACATGACAGTCTTGGGTGAAGGTATAAAACTGACAAAGTACCTTAGATATCAGCTATGTCCTAGAATCAGGAAATCAAGGGTATTACCATTAAGCAAGCAGCAGAAAGCTGTTTAAGCTTTTCCAGGACCATTTAAATAGAGTAGTTACCATGTAAGGATTTAATTTTACTTGGAGTTATAAAAAGTAAACACACTAAATTGGGTAACCGCATTAATCAAAAGCAGCCCCAAACAAAAAAGCTATCAAAAAAACCCAAAACAAGGCATTCTTATATCATGCATAAAAAGGATAATTATATAATACATATTTTAATGACCAGACCAATAAATAAATGAGGTAAATTTTACAGTTATTGAAACAAATAAACTATATTTAACCACTTAAGTGTTGCGCTGCCACTGCTTCCATTTCAAAATATAAACTAATATAATTAACCTATCATCTAAAAACTGCATACTTTGAATGTTTGTTTTTGATCCCCTTTTGAGATAGTAAAGGGGGACTGTGTAACAAAATATTATCTGAATATAAATCATCAACACCAATACAATACAATTATCATGTAATTGCCATTTTTATATGCACAGTAGAAATACTGTGAAAGCTAGAAAAAAAGATGGAAACAGACTGGCCAGAATTTTAAATTTCAGACTAACCCATGATAATCTAGAACAGGAATAAACAAAAATAAAATTTACACAACAGATACAGCTTGATATCCTTTCCAAATTCAGTAGTCCACCAGATGTACCTTCTAAACAAATCCATTACTTCAAAGTTGAAAAAGGAAGAAAACGTAAATCTCCTTTTTGAGCTTTAGTTTTCAAGTTTACGCTCTTGAAGAAGGCTAACATTACCAAGAACTGCAATACTATTTTTACAAATCTAGAATCTTTCCTTTTGTATTTTGTATTTGCTTTCCCTATTTCAGTTATTAGTAAGGGAAAAGAGAAGAAAATATTAAATTATCAAGTCAAGAATAAATATGATAGCCAGTTAATGAAACTATTAAATTGAATCAGTTGGATCAAGAATTTCCCACTACACAGCTACTGATTATCTACAGCTACCGTTGGAGTAGTAATTTAGAAGATGTCTATCATAACTACTGACAGTACTTTTCGTAATATATCAATTTCCACTTTTACTTTCTTCTCTCCCTTACCTCTTACATGAATTATTTTAACTGTGTGACAGGAAATTTTATTTTACAAACTCATTTCAATTATTGAAGAGGTGATTTTAACACCTAAGCCTGCCAATCCTGAGATGATGATGATGATGATGATGATGATGATGATAGGAAAACTGAAACCCAGATGATTTCTCACTCAAATTTCTGCTTTAGTTTTTTTTGGAAGATGGCTGGCAGAATAGAAAGAAGAGCCAAAATCATTAGAACAAATACTGAGTTCCAGGAAACAGCTTCCCCTGCTGTTGTAAGCTGGTACAGTGTTGTTCCTGCCTTAATCGCTACAAAAGAGGGAGGTGCAACACCTAAAAGAAAAAAGAAAAACATAACCATTTTTAAAAAATAAAATTTTATAATATATTTTATATTCACAAAATTATTCAGAACTCAAAACAGCACTGACATTATTCTAACACTTTGTAATGTACTATTTTAAACTGATTCAAATAAACCCATGTTTAAATTTTAAAAAATTAAAATTTTCTGTGTGTATAAAATTTCTTACAAGAATATAGTAATCTCTGTTTTGGTACATTGTTATTTAATTTAAAGCCCCACGGGGTGCCTGGGTGGCTGAGTCAGTTAAGCATCCGACTTTGGCTCACGTCATGATCTCAGACTGTGGTTTCAAGCCCCGTGTCAGGCTCTGTGTGCTGACAGCTCAGAGCCTGGAGCCTGCTTCTGATTCTGTGTCTCCCTCTCTCTCTGCTCCTCCCCAGCTTGTGTTCTCTCTCTCTCTCAAAAATAAATAAACATTAAAAATAAATTAAAAATAAATAAGGCCCCTCAAGTTTATTTCCATATAAAGAATTCAATCTTTCAACTACCTCTGGAGGATAAGGAATTTAAAAATTCAAGAAAATTTTCTAGAAAATAATTTAGAACATTTCTTAACAGCTTTTAAAAAAAGAATGTGCTTTGATCCAGCAATTTGCACTTTAGGAAATACTAATGTACCTGAGCAAAGACCTAGGCTCAAGGATGTCCATCAAAGCATTATAAATAACAAAAAATCTGGAAACAATCTAAATGTTCAACAATAAGATTGAGTAAACTGTCATTCATCCTTGACAGAATATACTTAAAATAAAAATGAAGTGGTAGGAGATACTCAGATATGGAAAGATACTCAAAATATGAGTAAGAACAGTTTATACCACAGCATGGATGGAACAACTACATTTTATTAAAAACCAGAACAAATTGGAAAAGTCACTTTAGCCAAAGTTGAAGTTAACTAAATCTGTGGGTATTCCATCTGTAAAATTAAAGAGATGGGGACAAAATTCTCTCTTCTGATTCTGTAACCTTATTTTACAAAATCCAAAATATCCCTAAGATTTTTAAGTTTCTCAATGAATTCTTTAAGAGAAGCAACAAAAAACTGATTTTGATTATTCTTTTCAAGATCTGTAAGTATTAACTTAAACTTTAACTGATAATAGAAGTCTGTTCACTCGTTGGTATCTAAACAACTCAAATTAAATTTGAAAGAAAAGCAGAATACTCTTACTAAAGAACCATCAGAATTCACAAAATACATAAGCATCTTTACGTCCACTAATTAATTTCAGAATTAAGTGCCAGCTCCTTGAAAGCAAGAATCCTTGTTTCCCCCATACTTTTCGTAATGCCCATAATAAATACTAATGTCAATAAAAAAGAAAATAGAATCAACTCTATTGAAAATTAAAGTTCAGTATTTCAAAATGGGCACTTTTATTATGATTAAAAAAATATCCAATAAAGTAGTCTTCTTTAAAAGAAGTAACACAGGGGCGCCTGGGTGGCGCAGTCGGTTAAGCGTCCGACTTCAGCCAGGTCACAATCTTGCGGTCCGTGAGTTTGAGCCCCGCGTCAGGCTCTGGGCTGATGGCTCAGAGCCTGGAGCCTGTTTCCGATTCTGTGTCTCCCTCTCTCTCTGCCCCTCCCCCGTTCATGCTCTGTCTCTCTCTGTCCCAAAAATAAATAAACGTTGAAAAAAAAAAATTTTTTTTTTTTAAAAAAATAAAAAAAATAAAAGAAGTAACACAAGGGCGGCTGGGTGGCTCAGTCAGTTAAGCGTCCGACTTCGGCTCAGGACATGATCTCGCAGTTCCCGCACTCGGCTCTGTGCAGACAGCTCAGAGGCTGGAGCTTGCTTCGGATCCTGTGTCTCCCTCTCTCTGCTCCTTCCCCACTCATGCTCTGTCTCTGTCTCTCTCTCTCAAAAATAAATAAACATTAAAAAAAAAATTTAAAAGAAGGAACACTTAAATCAACACAATCCAGCAAACATTTCAGGACAGCTATTTATGTATGCCAGGCTCTGTGCTGAAATATGTGCAAAGAACATGAAATCTAGCCCAGCTGGACACTGTTAGGTATGTACATGAGTTCTAACACAGCGTGAACCAGAGGCCTTACCTAGAAAAGTGCCAATAAAAAAAACTTTCAATGGCACATTTATCACAGGGGATGTGATATTAATAAACCAATTCGGCAAAAATGGTGTTATTCTCAAAAATATAATGTAGTTAATGAGATGTTCTCTATGACGCTCAACCTGTCATAAGAAAGAAACCAGTTAGGATCAAGATAAGGCCAATATCGAGAAAAAGTTCCTTAATATACTTATTTCAAATTCTCATTCCCTGATAGTTCAGAACCTATCCAGCAGAAATGATCAACATAGGAACCTGAAAATGACAATGATCTCACTACCAAAGCTAAGTAACATGAGATGAGTTTTTTTTTTTTAATTGTACATATAGCTTAATGTTGCACTGTTAGATGGCTCAACAATGACCCTTTACACCTGAAAGAGCAAAATTAAATTTATAACTATACATAAGATACATATCATGTGATTAATTTTTAACTTCCTATAATGTAAAAGGCTAGTATAGCACATCAGTAAACCTAGCTTCTAATTTAATCTTTATTTTTGTGTTATGATATATATTACATAAGTGATTCATTCATTAGATAAGTGAGATTGAACAAGTATAGGGAGATATTTAGTCAATTAAATAAAAGCAGTTTATACTTCTAAATCTTGCTTTACAAATAATGATTGTGATTTGCAGCAAAATGCTTAATTTCTCATCTCCTAGTTTGTAAAACAAAAGGGTAAGGCAGAACGATTTCCGCAATTCCTTTGAGATTTAACAGGTTGTTTCTTCCAATTCTTTCTAAAAATAAGATTTTCTCAGCAACATCATATTAAACCTTTCCGTGTAGTGGTGCCTATATTTGTCATTGCATGTCTTTGCAGAAATCCTGACTAAAGAGAACAGTCATTTCTACTGATGAAATACATTCAAGGAGTTGGTTGATAAAAGTTTTTCAGTGACTCCCTGACAGTGGACTGCATCAACACAAAACAGGTGAGGTGTCCAAATATGTGAATGTCTTCACCAGAATGATGACTTCTCTGCTCTGACTGAACTTACTAGGAATGAAGAATTACAATTACTGTTACAGTACAGAAACTGCATATTTGAAATGATTAACATTCATTATTTGCCTACTACTACTATAATTTACTTTGGTCAAAAATCATTTTTATTAAAGCCCTGAGTCTGGGTTAATTTATGTAGGGACTATACACTGACCTCCCAATTAGGCACAGAATGACACTAAACAACTTAAAAAAAAAATACATGTTTACCTGTTGTGACCATTTTACTGCTTTCTCTGTTAGGTATTTGTATACAACTGGCCTCCCAACTAAATAGGAGAGCATATAGCAGAATGAGGCACCGAGTCCAGAACACTAGGAAATAACAAAAAGCCATAAGCATTGTGTACTTTTCCATCTTAGTCACATGGATATAGTCACTTAAAGCAAAGCTCAACTAGTATATATTTTGGGGAGTTAAGGGAGGGTACTCTACATGACATCTCTCGTGCAGAGAACAAGAACCCATCTGATCCAGTCCCTTCTCAGACCAAATTATAACTAAAATGAGAATAACTAAAACAAACTGGCACTTATGATTAAACTTAGTGATTACATCCAAATAGTTAATAATAGCATCTAGCTAGCCTAAGAATAAAATTTAAAAGCGAATTTTTTTTCAACTGCTATGCTTGAAAATACCACCTCCAGCTCTGGACTTAAGTCTGTGATGCCCCTGTTCTAGGAAAAAAGCAAACTATAACATCTGCTTATGGGGGGACTTAAAAGATATTACTTAAACATTAATCACCTCTTAAAACTAATGAGTTTATGTTTACACAAACTAGTGGGACCAGAGGCCATCCTTCTCCCTCATCATTCTATCAAAAGCTACTTTTTTTCTAGTCTCCCAAATTCATTTTATATACTTACCAAACAAACAAGAAATAAGGCTAGCGGAAAGGGATAAAGAAACCCTGAGAGTATACTGAGAAATATAGAGCCTGGAATAGCAAATGTTTGCAAGCTGTTAACTTCTAAGTTAAGGATTAAAACATAATACAATGGAATTTTTAAAAGACAAATCAAACATTTCAGAAAACAAGTATCAATACAGAAGTTATCATGTTAATAAGATTATATCTGTATCTCAGTATTAAGAAAGCAAAATTGTATCTAAAAGTTTAAAAAACCATCAGTTATGATGCCTTTAACTCTAAATTGACCATTTTCTAGCATTATTATAAATACAATGCTATTAAGAGTGTGTTACTGAAAGAAAAACCAAGACAAATATCCAATGTGTTCCAGATAAAGAACTGGGCACTTTGGCAAAAGAAACAAAAGGGAGGGAAAAAAAAAAGAGAGAGAGAGAGAAAGAGAGAGAACAAAGGTCTTCAGTAATCTTATATGCTTCTCTAATGCACTGCATTTACTCCTAAATGTGTTCAAGAAACATGGTTTCTGTGGAAATCTAGGGTATGATAATTACTTGTTTCTAATTTAACTTATAAACATTTACCTCAATGCACTACTCATTAAAAAAAAAGGATAGGGGTTACACAATAAAGATCACAAACCTTACTTTTAAGAATTATGCTTTTTACTACTTCCTGTTTGCTCCCAGTTTTAGTCTGGAATCCCCCTACCCCCTTTTAAAATCCCCTAACATGATTTACTTACAAGTCAGAGTGAATTCCTTCAACGTCTATGCTTCTTTTAAAATTTCTATCTTCACCCATTCTCCTACTCTATTCATGTTTTCATCTCAATCTCCTTTCTTTTTTCTGGCTTCTTTCATCTTCAGTTTCTTGCTCTTCCACAGGATCCCTGCTGTATAAACCCACTCTGATGCCTATGAACTCAAGAAAACCTAGGCTTTCCTTGACCATTGTATTCTATCCAGCTAGTGTGCCTCACCTTCACTTCCTCAGAGGAGATTCTCTCCCTGTCTCCTTGCAACCTGACTTACTCATCCACCCGTCTCACGGCCAAAAGTAATGATTTTTTCCTGTTTTTCACTCTGATTTAACTCATTTTATAATTATGTAAAATATTTACTTGGTTCTAAAGTCAAATCTACACAATAAAGTACATCTAGAGAATGACTTCCATCCCTCTGTCATCTCTCTCCCCACAGGTAAACATTGTATTGGCTTTTAAAAATACCCTTTCTTGGGACGCCTGGGTGGCTTAGTCGGTTAGGCATCCAACTTCGGCTCAGGTCATGATCAGGCTTGTGAGTTTGAGCCCCACGACTGGCTCTGCACTGACAGCTTTAAGCCTGGAACTTCCTTCAGATTCTCTCTCTTTTTGCCCCTCCCCTGCTTGTGCTCTCTCAAAAATGAATAAACATTAAAAAAAATAATTTTTCTTTTCAAAAACAGATAAATTATCTCCTTGTGTATGTGTGTACTCATATCATCCTCCCCTGCTTAGATAAAACATTGCATACTGACTTACTATTCTGCACCTTGCTCTTTTCATTTAACATTATATCCTGGAGGTAAGAATGCCTTAACCACATAGAGAGACATTTCTCATTTTTAAATAGCTAGAGTACACTCCAGTGTTTAGACTTGCCATGGCTTATGCAACCAGTTCCCTACTGACATTTGGGTACGGATACTTCTATTTGAATATTTAAAATTCTGCATGTCCTAAATCAAAGCAAATGTTATCTTCCTTTCCCAACCCTAAGCAGGGTCCTCTACCTATTCCCTTTTTTCTCTAAACAGCCCAAAATACAAAGCCAAAGAAAGGTAACCACCAAGAACAAAACTGGTATAATACTGATAACTACTGAAGCTGGATGATGGGTACACAGGAGTCCACTGTATGATTTTCTCTACTTTAGTGTAGGTTTAAAATTTTCCATAATAAAAGAAATTTTTAAGTTACCCTAAGATTTTAGCCTTAGGGAAATAAAAAAAGAGATGATGGTGACACATTTAATGTCATCCATAGCTCAAAAGTCTTCAGTGACTACCCAATACCACTGAATATTCTAAATTCCTCAGCCTGGTACTCAAAGTCCTCTACAGTCTGAGTGCAGTGTCTGTCCTATCTCCCTACACTTGTGTCTCTATCCTCCCCTTTTCACACCCTATAGTCCAACTAAACTGGATAACTGATCACTTGTTAACCACACCCTGTGCTTGTAAGCTCTGCTCTAGATTTGCTCAGAATGAGACTGTGCCATCTCTACCCATAATTCCTTAGTGCCCCAGATGGAAATAGTTGTTCTACCTTTGAATGCTCAAAACACTAGATTTGTACTTAGAATATAATTAGTAAATTAGAAAACTGAATATGAATAAAATAATTATAATGTAAAAAGCCATTTATATTCAAGTTTGTCATTACATAATACCAGTGAAGGTACTAATACTACACTGCTGAAGACGGTGGCCACTAGCCATATGTAACTATGGAGACACTGAAATGTACATAGTCTGAACTCAAGTGCTATGAGTGCAAAACACACAAATTTCAAAGACTTAGTGTGAAAAAAGAATCTAAAAATACCTCAATTTTTATGCTGATTGCGTGTTAAAATGATAATATTTTGACATATTGGTTCAAGTAAAATGTATTACTTAAATTGATTTCAAGTGTTTTTTTACTTTTTCTAATGTCAACTAGAAAATTTAAAAATTACATGTTGTTCAATTATATTTCTATTAATTAACACTGTATCAGTTATATGCCCTAAGATAAAGTCTTTTCTTTTTTGTTCACTGAATTTTAAAAAGTATCTTTTTAATAAAGAGCTTAAGATTCAAAAGTGAAAATAGACAATTATAAGACAACATGAATTTAACAAGTTATGTTATAAAAATCTAAAATGAGATGTGAAATCATTACAATCACTTACATATCAAGGCAACAATAACAATATGCAATAAAACCTCCTGAATTGACAATATTAACCAACATATGTATTTTTACTATTAACCAATATTTAAAATGTAAAACTTAGGGGCTCCTGGGGTGGCTCAGTCGGTAAAGCGTCTGACTTTGGCTCAGGTCATGATTTCGCGGTCCTTGAGTTCAAGTCTGGCTCTGAGCTGTCAGCATAGAGCCTGGAGCCTGCTTCGGATTCTGTGTCTCCCTCTCTCTCTCTCTGCACCTCCCCTGCTCATACTCTCTGTCTTTCTCTCTCTCTCTCAAAAATAAACATTAAAAAAAATTAAAAAATTGATAAAATTTAAAACTTCAAACCAAATGTATTTTGTAATAATAAAGCCCTTCTTATACTTTCAATTCACTTTCTATAGGACAGTTTATCCTTTTCTACTAATTTGCATATGGATATTAAGACAACTAGGCTATAACATTTATAACCCCAGAGATTGTCAAGATCCATTTATGCTAACTGGTTGACTGACCTTATGAGTGGGTATCTCCTTTATCCCTCAGACATGTTATCCCTCCCAAAGCTGAGAGGCAAAGTAGGGTAAAAAAAAAAAAAAAAAGATGACTTTCCAAAGTAAACAAAAACTATATGCCTTGTTCACAAAAACCTTATAAATGCCAAATTAAAAAAAGGAATCAAGTTTTTATCTTACTTGAGGAAAATATTTTAATTTATGGTTAAAGTGTATAGAGGCAAAATAACCTTTAAGTCTAACACTAACACTATGGTTTTCCCAGATAGGTTCTAAAATGGAATTAGTAGGAAAGGGGAGCAGTTATGGATTTCTTAAAACAGTTTATGTATTATTAAATCACTTTACAAATAGCTGCCAAATAACCTGCTGAAAGACAGATGCATAATAATTATTCTCTAAATTTTTCCCAAATTTGGATTTTTCTCATAATAAATAAGATGACAAAGCACCTAAATAAAAATGTATTCTCACCAGGTAGATAAAGGAATAATGTTTGTATTATCAGCAAAAGTTTTTGTTAACATACTTAATAACAAACTGTTTATGCTAGGAACAACTGCTTCAGGGTATTTAAGAATATACTGACAACATTTATATAAGGAGGCAAGTATAGAAAAACATATATATATGTTAAATACATAATATCTAGTCTAATATAAATCCAAGAAAAGAAAATGCTAATGAATTTTACAAGAAAAAGTTTTAATTGCGAAGTCCCATAAGCCAAAAGAAATTCAGGAAATAAAACAGGAAGCAAGAATATAAAGAGTTTGAGAGAATTAATAAAGTAACTAGTTTAACTTTTAAAAATAAATGTTGGTTTCAAAAGGAGAATGATTACCTTTACAGGATCAAGAGATAATGTGTTTCATTAAACGAGAAGATTTGAAAATAGGTTGGATTAAAATAAAAGATACAAAAATCAGATTGAAGTTAAAGCCCGTAACTGGAAGACTAATCACCAGTAGCATAAGCAGTTTGAAAATACGCAGGAAGAATAAAGCTATTTTCCTGACTAATTAATACAACATATATTTCTATAAAACAAAGAAATACATCCAAGAGTTATTTTAAAAATTTATATCCTTTGAATGACTAATTTTCCACTTAAGATCTTTTTACAAAGAAACCATTAAATGGAAGAAAAAAAATCACAAACAGAAAGTTTTATAACACAACATGTATAAAAGCAAAAAATTAATTACAAATTATATCTTCAAACCTAAGGGAGTATTTTTAAAAATTATGCTGTGGTGACTATTCAAAATAAACTAAATTAAAATAATCAATTAACTAATACAATCATAAATTAAATAGATAATTATCTTGAATAATGCAGAAGAGAGGAAAATGTTTATGATAAGTGAAATAAGCAGAATACAAAAAAACTGGTAGTAAATATTCAAAAATAATAACTGAGTTGAGGAGATAGGTTTAAAGTGAGAATTTTTTCCATTTAATTTTTCAATATTTTATTTAATGTTACATGAAATTAATAACTTTTAAAAGAAAAAAATAGTTATGCATAACTAAACAGACCCTTTAAGACCTCTTTCTTGAACAAAACTAGATTAACAGTTTTTTTAGTTAAAAGGATACAAAATATATGTAGCAAAATAAGCTACAAGTACTTGTACATAAAAGGTGTCCTTATATTTGGATAAAACTTTTCCTAGAGCCTTGGCATCATCCATATCTCTGGGAACCTTCATATTCACTCTTTCTTCTCTAAAGAAATAAAATTAAAGTGAAAAATTTTAAAGCAGAAATTTGCCAAGATAATTAATATCAAAATCAAGTTCAAAACATGAAGTTTTATCCAAAATGATTTGGCGCTTTGATCTGTATTATATTAACCATAAATTCATAAGTTTTAAGTTCAAAAGTCTATAAATATTTGTTTTTAATGATTTAATATAATTTCTTGAGACATGTTATCTATGTATGAAAGTTCAGAGTGACCCAAACTAAATTAGATTAAAAGCATTTGCTCCAACGCTGGTATAAATTTTGAGTTAAAAAGTGAACTACTGATGTTAGCATATTCAAAACATATTTAACATCATTTTGGGTAATCCTCATGAGAAGCTAAAATCAATAATTAATTACAACTAAAATTAAGTAAAATTTTTGATGAATTTACAGCTCACATATCTTCTGGAATATTTCGACTCAAAGTTCAGATAAAAACTTACACATTTTTCCTTTTCTATTAATCTTACTTTATATTTGGTGCCTTATTTGGAACTGAATTTCTTACTTATAAAAGGCTCAAATAATTACGTTTGTGTTTAATGTATATTGTGCCCATTTGTTTACATGATAAAATTTAACCAATCTTTCAGAACAATGATAGATTGCTGCCTAATTTCTATAAAAATAGTAGGTAAACTGTGATTTCTCATTTATAAATTTAAAAACCAAAAAACTCTTTTTAGGGGTGTGTACACACACACACACACACACACACACACACACACACACACACAAAGAAATAAGCAGAACATAACAGGTGTATAACAGCACACTTGTACACAAGTGATGTTATCATTCTTAGAGCAGATTGGGAGCAAAGACAACCTTTATATTCTTGCCCTCTTTCAGTCAGCTCTTAACTGCCTCCTCCTTGATCAAAACCAGAAAGGATCTAAAATTCAATAACACTAATAGTAACCTAACAATATAACATGCTAGCCTCCCAAAGGCATTTACACTGACATAAGAAATCAAAGTATGAAAATAAAAATAAGTTTAATTACAAAAATTTCAAGCATGAGGAATTGTTATTGAAAGGAATTTAGAGGAAACGGGAACTTCCAAACACCCTGAAATCATATTTCACAGTTCTCCATTACCACACTAGTCTGGCTCTGGTTGAAAGTCTAACTACATTTTAGTAAGTCTTTTATGTAATCTATGATTAACATAGGTTGGTATTACTGTGGTTAAAAGGACCTGGGATATTCTGCCTTCTTAAAGTATGTTTCAGTTCCATAATCTCTTCCCTAAAATTCAAAAAACTCTGAAAACCAAAAGTTTTTCATATTTTTGTCAGAAAAAATTGACCCACACTTAAATATCATAGTCTTTTATCATGCCCATTCCTCTGCAAAAAATATTAATAAATTTGATAATGGGATCCTTCCCCAGATCCTGCTGGAGGTACTACATAACAGACAGTATTTGTTCCATGTTATCTGTCCAAAAATGGAAAAATTCTAAATTCTGAAACACATTTCACCCCAAGGTTTTGGCTAATGAGTTTTGGATGTATTTAAGATAATACAAGTTATTTTTTTTATAAAGTCCATTTCACTGTGAAAACTACCTATTCAGGTCATATCATTTCCATAAAACAGGGAAAAGAAAAAGAGCTGGGAGAGAGAGATGTGGTGGGGATAGAAATGAATGAATAGAAGCAGACAAACTGATCACAAGAAGGAAGGGAGAAACATAGATGGAAAGGTAGGGAAAGCAGAGAAGAAGAGCATCAATGGTTTTCAAACCACAGGTGTCTTTTATGGATTTTAAAATAAGCTTGCTTGGTCACTACTAGCATGAAAAATTAAATAAATAGAATAGTTTAGAAAATATCAGAGACCACCACCTGTTTCAGGAAACTTTAATTTTGTATGTATACATGTATGCAAGTGAGCGGGGTACAAGGGACAGGCACATGCCTGCAGGATCATGACATAAAAATCTATTTCTTAATATAGTTATATATATATTTTTAATTTGAAAGCCATTAGAAAGATGAGGCTTTAATTACAGGAGCAGTGCTAGGAAAACCCTGCACAGAAAATCAGGAGGCATGTTTGGGAAAGAGTATTTAAATAAGTGTCACTAGAGACTTGCTACAAATCATGATAGCTAATATACACTCACCATGACAGTTCTGTTGCTTCAAATTAGTTTAACTTTTAATCTACTTTATCTATAAATGTCTAGGCATTTTTCAGTTTCTTTCTGTATACTTACTCACTAAGCTGAGGAAAATTTTTATATACCAAAAACATAACAAAAGCTGCAGATAAGAAAATGGACACCAATATAAGAAGTGACATTCTTGCTGACCCAGCTTCTGCACAGGCTTTTTCTGAAAGGGAAAAAAAAAAAAAAAAAAGCTATAATTAAGATAAATATTTTTAAAAGACAGTATTCCAAGTCAGCAAATAATTTCCTTAACGACTTTCCTCCCCAATAAACTGTTCATACTTTTGCTCAGTTTTAACATAAAAATTTAACTCCTAATGTATTTGCCATTTATTAACCAGGCATATTGCTTCGGGGGGATATACCCATTTCAGAAGCATGAAAAAACAGAACACCAGAATTTGCAGCACTGATTTGCTGATAAGCCAAAGGAGAAAAGATGGCATTGCTCTAGTTACTATCACTGACTTTCAAATGTATTTATATTGGGAGCTGACAACATAGACAGAATGCCCTCTTAGGAAAAATGAGGTAAAGTGGCAATTACTTCAACTGTCACAAGAACCCAGAAACTGACTAATACAACTGGTGAATGTTAATACAGTACTTTTTACACCAAACGCTTCAGAATATAGTTGAGCCTCAAATGTTTTGGGTGGCTCTCTGGGACTCCAAGAATGGCAGAATTTGTTCACATTCCCTCACAAGGTACTCTTCGTGTTATCTAAAAAATTATATGCAACATAAAAGTATAGGGTACATGAGTGGCTCAGTCGGTTGAGCGTCTGACTCTTGATTTTGGCTCAGGTCAAGATCCCAGCATCATGGGATTGAGCCCAGTGTCAGGCTCCTTGCTGAGTGTGGAGCTTGTTTAAGATTCTCTCTCTCTCTCCCTCTGCCCCTAATCCCCCGCTCACATGCTCTCTAAATATAAAAATAAAAATAAAAATAAATAAATAAAAAGATAAAAGTATGGAATGAGATCCAGGAAAGAGCAAGTAGAAGAATGAGCAAGAATGAGCTGTTTTTATCAGGAAGTAGTCAATAGTGGGGAGGCAAGGCCAAGATACCTTAGTAGTGCTCTCTGTGGAAACAGAAGTGGTAGCATAATTTTTATTGCGCACATTTACCATTATTCCATGTACATACTTTTAACGCTCAGGGGATTAAAAAATATGTGTATACCATAAGAATTACTTTTAGTTCTCTGAGAATGAATCTACCACTATGCCCCTCCCTAACTACTGCCTGTGTAACTTTTATACATACTTTTTATGAAGTGTCCTAAAACAAATGCCTGTACTCTATTTGTTCATTTGGCAAATTCTTCTTCTCAAACATTTATATAAACGTATTAGATAGGTGTCACTGCACAGTTGAGTAACACCCTCCTCCTCAGGGAAACTTCCTCATATTCCCCTTCCTCTCAAAGGGGCTAATCTCATTGGCCCTATTACAGTTTGATTCCAACACTCTACCTTCCCAAACAACAGAAGGCTAACTTGCCCAAGGTTGGACACCTGACTCAAGTAGAAACTCATTATTGGCTGACCAAATTGTCTCTTGAAAATTTGAACTAAAAGAGATACTGTTGTCAAGAGGTGGTATGTCTTGAGGCTGAAAGATCAAGCAGTGAAGGCCACAGATAATGACAAGGCAGGCCAAAGACATGTACCAGAAAATCTAAGAGTGGAGGTTAAAATAAAAACCCAGAGAGCCCAAGTGGGAGCTATAGCTAACCTACTTGTTAACTTCTAACTTTCCACTTCCCTTAAAGCCTAGCTATATTTCATTTCTTGCTAACGGATGCCAGTGAGATTGCCTCTTTAAAAAAAAAAAAAAGTTGGG